AAATGCTCCAAGACTCACATAGTTTGGGTCACCTATGGACCCGAGCAAGTCAGGAGTAACAACTCTGAGAGAAACTCTATCTTCCCACCCACTCTCTCTCTTCTGAACTAGCACAAACTCACCTTGCCAGTTCCTCCAAAAGACTTCCACAACTGCATCTCCATCTGGCCACATGGCTCCAAAATCAACTAGGGCCTTTGCTTGAGCCAAGGGTCTGTTGCATTTAGCTAGCAATCAATTAACTCCTCTTCCCCCTGCTGCCCAGTCAGTCCTCTGCCAGCTTCTTTTGTCCAGCTTGTCCATCTGCCATCTTGAGCCACACCTGGATGCTTTTCAATCTGCCCTGCAACTGACTGTGTGGTTAGCTATCTTTGCCAGCTGGTCAGCTGTGGTTTGTGTTTGTGTGTCTTTCACTGCTTGCTAATTAGTAGTTACTGCTGTGTAGAATGAGCTTGTTGCAAATTTGATCTGAAGATCAGCTGCACCAAAGTCTGACACTGCAAAACCTCACACCTTCAAGCTGGCAACTCGCATGCAAAACCTCACACCTTCAAGCTGGCAACTCCATGCAAAACCTCACACCTTCAAGCTGGCAACTCCATGCAAAACCTCACACCTTCAAGCTGGCAACTCCTGCAAAACCTCACACCTTCAAGCTGGCAACTCCATGCAAAACCTCACACCTTCAAGCTGGCAACTCCATGCAAAACCTCACACCTTCAAGCTGGCAACTCCATGCAAAACCTCACACCTTCAAGCTGGCAACTCCATGCAAAACCTCACACCTTCAAGCTGGCAACTCCATGCAAAACCTCACACCTTCAAGCTGGCAACCCCATGCAAAACCAGTGACCTGGCTCAGAATCCTTTTGTGCTTTTATGGGGTCCTTGCCATCTCTGGCATGGAAATGAATTAATAACTGACATAGCTTTTCTGGGCCTACTCCAAACAAAGCAGCAATTCTCTGTGACCAAGACAAACTGACAACTAATGGTTCCAACAACTGGTTTCAAACAGCCCCCAGCTGGAAAACATCATATTGTAGCAGCCAGCTGTAGGCTGTTGGCCAAAAGAGCTGTCCCTGCAAAACTGCAACTGATCAGCTTCTGTAATGAAGTACTGTACTCACCTGGCCCCAGCAATTCTGAAAACCAACGGCTTCTATGTAACTTTGAAACACTGTATCAGGATAGCAAGCTAATTACTGATTCTTTCCAAAACTATCCCACTTGGCTAGGGCCAGCCATCTCAAGACCAGCTAACTCTATCTTCTCACCTTCTTGGCTGGGTTTCCCAGTAAGCTTGGAGCTTCTCCAACTCACTGATCTCAGACTTCAGCTTCCCTTCTGTCATCAGCTTTGGTGTCTCTGGCATCTGTGCAACTATACACCAATCCATCTTGAAGTGGCCAGCTTTGTGCCTGCAGCTGGCACCACTCAGTAAAAGAAACTTACAACCTAACCAACTGATGAAGCTACACAAAGGGAGTGAACACAACCCAAAACAATTGCAGCCAACTCAAATGCAAAAAAAAAGAGTCTGAATAAATAACAGGGCGCATCAACACCTCTAACTTCTCAATGGTGGACTCCCACTCTGCCCCAGCCATGGACCATGGAGCAGCTTGCTGCACAAGCTCATCTGATGTTGCATCCTGCAAAGGGTCTTTGGCTCAGTGGAAAGAAAACTGATTAATGAACTAATAATTAAAGCAGTTGTGAGGCAGCTTGTTTATATTTATCTTTCCCTGCTTCTCTCCACCATTAAAAAACTGTTGCATGTAACATAACTTGCTTCAGGGCACTGGGTTGAACTGCACCACCTTCAACTCTGGCCGAATGGAGTTCAGCAAGGCGTTCTGCTCAGCCATGACATCTTTGAAGCTGATCGTGTCATCGGTCAACTTCTGAGCTGACTAGAACTGCTAATGGCCACTACCCCAAAGGCTACTGCTACTCAAAGCTAGTGCTAATTCCCTACTAAACACCTAATTATATACCCCCCCTTTAAAGTAAAATGTGGCTGAATTACAACCAAAGAAAGCTCATCACGAAGCCAAGAGTCTCTGAGAAACCTCTTCTCCCAAATGCAAATCTGCACCTGCAACTGTGCAGACCTCACTGCCAGGTCCCACTCTGCCATGTAGCTGGCTGCATCTGTGGCATGTGTGGGAGCTGCCCTGTATTGCAGCAACATACTTGTGAATGCTTTGGCACCTGACCAGTTTGAACCTCAGCTAACTGGCAACTGTGTAACTATTGAAAAAGGACCCACCAAACAATTAACTGTGTCCACATCTGCTTGAACAACTTCTAAACCCAAGCTGGGCTACTCTCCTCCCAGTCTAGCATGAACTGGTACAGGTGCCTCTGCACATCTGTGTGACTTGCTGCATCTCGGTCAGCTCCTTAATTAGCTTGTGGCAAACTGCAAAACTGCTGCAAAACTGCAAAGCTAGTTGTGCTGAAATTGAAAACTTGCATGAAAAGCTACAAAGCTTTGCTAATGACATGCACAACTGCTCATCTCAAGCCAGACCAACTTGGTGGCACTGATCCAGCAGCTGTCCATCACTGTTGACAACTTGGAGTTCATCTCTCTCAAGATCTGCATGATGTAGGCTATGCTTGCAGCTAGCATCACCTAATTAATTAGTGGCTTTGCAGTGGTCTAACAAATCAAACTGTTGACCAACTAAAGATGTGGAAAGAAAACCAGCTAAATTACACCAAGCAGCCTTTCCAATGTCCAACTGTGCCACCACCAGTGCCCCCTTGGACATGACAACTGTGCGAGCATCTCCTGGGCTGCAGGGGGTTGGGCAATCTTTCTCAAACTTTCCCAAACTTTCCCAAAGAGAAGCTAAGTCAAGCTGGGGCTCTGTTGCTGAGAAACCCAACTGCCAGAGCTACAAGCCCAACTGCCACCTGTGTCCTCTTGGCCTTCATCTTGCTGATCAGCCCTGCCAGCCTGTCCATCTCTGCAACCTGAGATTGTCAACTGAACCCAAACAAATGCATGAAATCAGTGTAATTAACTCATGCTGAAAGGAAAACTAACCACCAACTGCTGTGGAAGCCCAGCAGCTATGCAAAGCTTGAAGCTGAAGCACAACTTGCTTGGAGAGCTGACAGCTGCTCCAAGCTCGCTTCTTCATGCTGGCTAATTACCTCATGCACACCTGCCTCAAACTCCTACCAACCCTCTCTCAAGCTGGCCAAACTCCAGCTGGCCAAAAAACCTCATGCAAACCTGCCTCAAACTCCTAATTTCCAAGCTGGCCAAACTTCAGCTGGCCAAAAAACCTCATGCAAACCTGCCTCAAACTCCTAATTACCAACCCTCTCTCAAGCTGGCCAAACTCCAGCTGGCCAAAAAACCTCATGCAAACCTGCTGGCCAAACTCCAGCTGCCAAAAAACCTCATGCAAACCAAACTCCTACTAACTAACCCTGCAGCTTTGGCCCAGCTCTGCTTCCTTTTTTGCTCTCAGCAGCTGGCTTCTAGCTGGCTGCTACAGGCAGCTGCCTGCTAGGCTTCAGCCACCTCCTTGTGATCTTTCTTTTCATCCACTTCTCCTTCAGGCTCTTCTTTTCCTTCAGGTTCTTCTGTTGGCACATCTTCCAACTGTACTTCCACCTTCTCTTTGGCTGGTTCTTCTACTTTCTCTTGTATCTTCTCTCCTCCCTCTCCCTTTGAATCTTGCAGGGGCAACTTCTCTTTTTTCTCTGGAAACATCTCACTGAGATCTGATCCTACAGGGAGCTTTGCAACACCTACCTGCAAACCTTGGTCGCTCTTGCTGCCTACCTTTTGCATTGCCTTTTTGCTACTGTGGCTGCTGATGTCTCCAAACCTCCTGCCCCCTCCCAGCCAGCCAAGGAGAGAGAGGAAGAGATGAGAGAAGGAAAAGGAAATGAAAAACCAATGCTAAATCAAATGGAAACTGAGTAATTCAGATGGAAATCAAGTCTACAATACTAAATCAAATGGAAACTCAAGCCTACCAAAACTAAATCAAAAGCTCCAGCAATACTAAATCAAATGGAAACTCAGTTCCAAATCTCAAAAGGAAGCTCCTGCAATACTAAATCAAATGGAAACTCAGCTCCAAATCTCAAAAGGAAGCTCCAGCAATACTAAATCAAATGGAAACTCAGCTCCAAATCTCAAAAGGAAGCTCCAGCAATACTAAATCAAATGGAAACTCACTTGAACTGGATCTCAAGATGCTATTCCAGATGCCCCCATCGTTGGGGGGGGGGGGGACCCCCCTTTACTAATCCCGATTGGACATTAGGAAAACAGCCAAACATACATTTACATGTTGCACCTAGTAAACCTGGCAAAAACAAACAGGAGGTGCTCCCCCACAAGTGATCCGAATCTGCGATGAGAGCGGTCACCTTTTCCGTTTGGTACGCTCCCTCTCTCATTTGGTCGCTTCCGGAGTCTTTCAGTGTACGAAAGTAACGACCAAAAGACAGGGAAAGAAGAGACCTAGGGAATGAAAGGGAAAGAGATAGAGGCTCTGGGATTTAATGGTTGGCGAAGGGAAAAAGGCAACATTAATATCCCAAAGAAGTCGCTCATTCCCTTTCCCACTCTCTATTGCCAACCCCATCCAAGATACGAACGAAGAGAGAGGACGAACGAAGGATGGGGAGGGAAGTGGGAATAAGAGAGCGTACGAATGAAGCCGGATGAACCTTTCCTATTCCCTTCGCTCACTCTGTTCCCTCTGTAATAGCGGTTCATCTCTGAGATTGATGGTGTACGAAAGGAAAGTGACTTGAAATGAACACCACCTGGTAATCAACATGGCGCAGCGGGCTATTTTGAGCCAGCTTCGGCTCTGTTGAGGCGTTGCTTGGCCGTTTCTTTGAACCTTATTTGAATTTCACCCCTGAAAGGAAACCTGAATCGCCAGGGGCCCTTTGCGGCTTTGTCTCCATTTCGGGCCACCTATAAAGGAAGCTCCGGAAACTTGGCCCCTGGCACGGTCCCAGTGCCTCAGCCAGTCCTGCAGGTCCCCCTCCAACCTGCAGCTCGCAGAGCTCGGGGAATCCAGAGCTCAGATGTGCCGTTTGGGTAAGGCCCTGTAAAATGCCATCAATCGGAACCTGCCACCATCCAAACCGATGTGTAGGGGGCAGGTTTATTTGATTCCTTATCATGCTTGGGGTAGACCCCTACTCCAACTACGCGGCGTTATTTTGAGGATATGATGCCAACCCCTGACAAAAGAAGGGAGGTGTTTACTGGAAGACATGGTTTTTCAAGATCTGCTCGAACAAAAGGCATTGCAAGTAGAGGGCTTGATTGGGGACCCTTCGATGCTATCTCAAGGATGTGGGTTTCTACTTTGAGACTTACCCAGATTACTTGTGACTGTTCATTGAAAACCTCTGGTGGACATCATTCAGATGGGGATTTATCCTATTCCCCATCAAACAAATATCGTATCCATTCTTTGAAGGGTATCCTTTCATAAGCGGTCGCAAAGAGAAACCGAGGAGAAAACTAGGATGCGCCCCCGCCGCGCTTAAGGGGCATGCGCCTTACCCTTGATCTTGGCCACCGACCTCAACTTGTTGCGTGGGCTTGTGCACGTTTTGCCCGCCCCAAACGAGCAGGATGTGTCCCCACTTCACAGGCAACGAGTATTGGCACTTCCAGCTCTGCTTCACTTGTCAAAGTCCATGCAGCGTTCGATATTGCCAGGATCAATACCCCAAAATTCCATGTTGATCCTGCCAGGGAGTATGACATAATCCAACAGAACTTCCAAATTTTGACTCGCCCTTTGCTTCTTTATCTCAGCTGCAGCAAAGCCCCAACCTGCTTATTGGCAACCATTTGTTGGTTCCATCCGTTGGCTCCATTCTACATGCAGGTTGTTTCTGCAAGTGAAAAGCAACCTTGTTTATCAACCCTAATTCACAAACTTCCTTTTCAAGCCCCGAAGGGCAGCGCTCTTTGATACCGGAAAACAGTCACAGTCGCTGACAACATTTCGGCTGACGACTCCGGCCGCGCACCTTGGCGCCTTGCCGCGATCCTTGGCGCGCTCCAGGTCGTGCTGGTGGGCGCGCACCCTGGGCATGTTTGTTCAGGGTCTTGAATCGAAGGCTCTGGGTGTGTAAAATGAATAGCAACACAGTCTGAAAAAATCCGCGGATCAGCAATCTTTAGGGCGATCTGTATTTTCGTTGGGAAGGGACTATCATTGAGATGATTGTGGGGTCTGCCACAGAACACAAGGGGCTTCTCAATACCTACAAAAGCAATCAGCTTCAACGTGAGCCAGCAGAACAACATGGAGGCCGCTTGGTCGCAATCTAAGTTGACCCCAACAACTACTTGCAATCAGTCGCGCGAAGTATAGAAAAGCTCACCAAAAGGGGTCCCACGACGAGGGATCAGACGCTGCCTTGCCTTGTTTGGAGGGAGGATAAAAGGAAGCTTTCACAGGTGGGGGGAAGGAAGGATGATTAAGTTTTGCGAATTCATAAACACAAACATTCAGCAAAAACAATCATTCATGCGGATTATCTGGCACCTCCGTTAGGACTTCTTACATCACTGTGAGAGAGAGAGAGAGAAGGGCATGATACTAGCCCTGACTTTACAAAGGAGGTCTATTCCTTGGAAAACAGGTTTCCCAGAACATACAGAGTAGAGAATGCGCATTTGAGGTAGGGGCTGGCTGTCCATTCTGCCAGCCAGGCCACCACTCCAGCAGCCCCCCAGGCATCCAGAAGTGCAGCTCCGAGATCTGGCCCTCGCCGCATCGGAGAGAGTGGAACCGGGGGGAGGTTGGTGCACCTTTTGAGGGATTGTGTGTGTGTGTGTGTTTAGGGTTGGCGTTGGGTGGGTTAGAGTTGGAATTCGATATCGGCTTTGCCTACGGTTTGTTTGGGGCTGCCAAGGGGAGCCAGTCGAATCAACTCAAACTGTGCCGGAGCCAAACCCTGGCATCGCTCCCCAAGGCTCGCCTTCGCAAGCCTGCCCCGAAGCTCTTTTTCGCTGAGCTCCCACAGGTCCGAGCGTGGTACTTGGAGGGATGCAAACATGAAGCCGGCAGCGAAGGTCCTTCGAGTGGAGCGGGGCAACGCCCCATGAAGCCTCACCTCTCATCCAGGCTTCGCGAACTTCACCAGGTCACCCGGCAAGCACCCTCCATTCGCGATGGATTGGTTTAAGGCTGGTTTAGGCATGGTTTATTGCTCGTGCAAATGTTGTTTAGGGTGGGTTTAGGGTGGGGTTCCCCGTATTTCCAACACAAAAAGATCCCACAAGACATGGAAACTCATTTGGCAAGGGACAGCTAGGAACGTCCAAGCACGTTTTGATAGTCCCGACCCAAAGACATCAACAACCACAGGAAACTCCACTTTTGAAAGGGAATCCTGGATTTGCCTTCTGAGGCCCCTGGATAAAAGACAAAGGGAGCTATGAAGCTCCAATCAATTTAAAAGGTCCGTATGTTTCCAACAAGGGCTCCTTAGGCACCTTAAGATGTCAAACATTGTTTGGGTTGTGTTTCCTTTTTCTTCCTTTTTTTAAGAAAATATGTGAGCACACACCTCGCATTTTTTCCAGCCCCGAAACTGTATCATCAAAATGCCAGCAAACTCCGCGTGCTTTGGCAGCATATTTTACAAGCTTTGCCAGACTGAACCAGGAAGACAGAGACCCTGGGGGGATGTGACGGGCATTTGCCGTCAATCCCAGCCGAACTGGATAGAAAAGACAGGCGCCACTGAATCTGGGCAAACCAATTGCTAGAAGTCGCAAAGGAAATTAGGAATCCCCTGGTGGGGAAATGTAGGTAAGATTCAGGAAGGGGGGGCTTGTTTCGCTCCTGGGTGCAAATATGCTGGGGGAATGCTTCATTGAAGAGAATTGAAGGGAACCTCGGAGTTTCCTGAAATAGGAATTGGACCATAAACATGGTTGGTGTCAAGATTGGTTTCGCTTTCAAAACTATCGCACCTAGATTTTTCCCAAATCAACAACTGATCTGTTGAGCATCTAGTTGGCCCTCTTCAACATGGGCCGCGTTTGGAGACGCTTCAAAACTGCATTCAACTGGATACAAATTGATTCAATTGCTTAGAGCCACCTTTCAAGAGGATATGTGAAAGGAACATAGTTGACAGTAACAAGTAACGAAGTCTCTCTCTCTCTCTCTCTCTCTCTCTCTCTCTCTCTCTCTCTCTCTCTCTCTCTCTCTCTCTCTCTCTCTCTCTCTCTCCGTCCGGACACTTAAAAAGCGGCAGCAACAACAAAACAAAGACCGTCATAGCTCGCCTGCGCCCAGCGCACACCACACCTGGATCGATCGCTGCGGATCCCGCCCCTCAAACCCTCTTGCAAGAAGCCAGCAGGAAATTCTACATGAAACTCGCCAGAACGCTGGCACAGGGTTCGGCGAGCATTTGGCTAGCGGCTAATTTCCTGCATATCTTCCAGGGTGGCTGCTCTGAAGGTCTGAATGCTTTTAGTCATAGTTTACTAACCCAAAACAAGAGACGCCGTCTATGAATAAACCTTCATGGGGTGCAAGGTTCCAATGTCTCGTTTCCCATCCTCCGTTTCTATACATCAAATTCAATTGTTTCTCCAAATGTGGGAAAGGCAATTCCCGAAGACTAAGGATGCCCAAAGAAAATGTAAACTGAAGCTACGACTGGATCTGCGCTTGAATCCCCCTGCTTGGGCCGGGGTGGTCCTTTTGGACCCCTTTTTTGACTTCCCAGCTATTTAATTTCCCCCTCATTGACTTGTGCAAACCCCTGAAATTGCAGGGTTTCTACCAGATCATTGTAATGAAAGGCAAAGGTATCGGATGTTGCCAAACCTTGACCCGGGGTTTAGACCGCAACTCCGGAACAATGACAGCCTCGGAGGGCATAGGACCATACAAAGTGCATTAGAGCAGAGGTTTCGGAAAGTGTCCGAAAACAAATCCGGCCCTTATACAGTACCAACGGCAGCAAGTTCCTTTGGTTTCAACCCGTCACCTGTGGCTCCGAGGCTCCGTGCTCGCTGTCGTGCAGCGCATCATGCAGCCGCTCCGTGTCGATGGGCAGCATCGCCTTCCGGCGCACGGTGCTAAGAGAGGTCTCGGAGTCTCCCTCACTGGAGCTTCAAGAAAACAGAGCCGCCTCAAGCGCTTGCACCGCCACGTTCTGGTCCACCTGTCCTGCGCAAGGGCGGAGGGAGCCGTATTGACACGTGATTATCTTCAGGCAATACTCACCTGGAGATTAAACTCGAAAACCAAAAGCCCCTTTTTGGATACGTATTTTGGGTTCCAGTTCACTTGCAGGGAATATCTATGCTAGTTATCTTCATAATCTTATTTGAGCTCGATTTTTAGAACAATTTTGAGGGCTTTCTGCCCAAGGGGGACCCCGTTCATATTGATCCTCCACAGGGTATAGCTATCTGTAGCGAAGCCGGTATTTTCAGTAGTCCGTTCTCAAGTAGATGTTCCCTGGACAGAAGCCTAGGCCTAACTTCCTACAAACTCTCCGGCAACCCAACACTCTCATATCTACTCTAACCGGAAGGAAATATAAGTCCGAAATGTCAAAAACATTTGTCCAAAGCTCAAATCCGTTCAAGGATCTGGGTTTCCTCATGCACATTTTCCGAAATTGGTACGTTAGCAAAACAAGTGCATCGAAAGCAAAACAATCAAATAGCCAATAGCCGTAAAGGGTGGTGCCTGATAGTGAAACAACACCCTTTTGCGGTTCTTGGCGGTTTTTAGTGCTTCGCTTCTGATGTTACTCGTTTTTAGCTGGCCCCCGAAAGTAGGCTGAGTTTTCACAATCCGCACATGTAGGATCATGTTTGTGCGCCCTGCGAACAAAAGGCAGAACGCGACTAAATACACATGCCAAAAGCACTGCAAACAAGTCTGAAGCTTTGACAACTTTTCTTCCCGTAGGGCAAGCAGTGCTCTGCCGGGCGGTTTGCGCGCCTGATTGGTTCATGTCCAGAAACTGAAACCTAGGCGGAAAGCCAGGAGAAACGATCGGAATCGATTCCGGCGGCTCCGCCGACGTGGCAAGGATCTCTTGTGGCTATGCTCAACACACTTTTGGAGTCTGAAAAGCATCTGAAGGGTCAACCAAAGGTTGCCTCCTTTGCGTCCCCAGAGACAGTCGTGCCACCTTCAGAGAGGTTCAAGAAGTCGCCAAATGAAACAGCCTCAATCAATCTACTTGCGTGCTTGATTTGCCAGGATATCGGGATGCATTGTGTTTGTTCTCAATGAGAACTGCAGGCCTCGGTGATTTTCTGTTTGGAGAAACAACCCCGTGAGGTCTCTTCCTTTGGGGAGGCTAAGGGAAGAATATCTGAGCTCCCTGGCCAGAGGCGCGGGTTCACGGCGATGTCCGGCATGGGCATCACCTGCTGCGACGGTTGTGGCCGTGGCTATGAGTCAGGGGATCCTTTTGCTCACTTTTATTGTGCCTTGGTTGGGGAAGACTCCGTCCGGCTCAACTATCTGCAGCCCAGATTATACAGTACCCATAGTACCCTAAAAGTCCCAACAGCATCCGAGCAAGGGTTCCGAGCCCCTGCCACACCCCGACTTGCGAATTGGCTTCGCAAAACTTGCTTCGCGACCTCCAGGGTGACTTATCCTGAAGTCAGTCTCAGGAGTGCAACGGCTGAACTTTGGGCTCAGGGAAAGAGGGCTTCACTGGTACGGAGACACCTGAAGCCTTGGCTTTATGTTGAAGGGTGGGAGGATACGTTGTGTTTCTGTCGCCTCCGAGTTCCAAGCACTGCCTGACACTGCCTAGATTCAAACTTCGAGACCCTCCAAAAAGCGAGCAAGTAAGCCTTGGTATGCCTGCGGTGTCTCCCAGATAGGATGAGGGGACAGGACCCCAAAGGCCTCGTGCGCTTGTGCTCGGCAAATGGGGCAGAAGTATTCGGCGACCTGCTGGCTCTGCTGCTTCATGTACCTGGCCACAAATCACAAATGGGTCCTCTGGAAGTGACCTGACTATGCCCAGCGCAAAACCTCAACGGCAGGTGTGGCGAACTTAACATGTCAACCCTCCCAACGGATTTTGAAAATGCGGACAAATACAACAGGCATAACAAAGCCCCCGTGGGTGCCGCATGGATGATACTGAACCTGGGGAAGTCAAGCAGCTGACACACCTAAAGGTTCCAGAAGAATGAAACCTTAGCAGCCCGTGCATGCGCCCAGCAAAGCCAGCAAAGCACTTGTTCCTTGTCCGTATCTTAGATCAAAAGCGGCATATGTGAGAGTCATGGCTTGGCACAACGGCCTTAAGCAACTAATAGAGACATGCGAGCTTGTCAGGCGCCCAAAGCTGCAGCTCAAGATGTGTGGAAAGCGCTCAATCAAAGCAGAAAAGTCTGCTGCTGACAAGTGGGTCGATAACAGGTCAACTTTACGTGAAATGTTTGCGCGGATGCTGCAGCCAACCAATGGCGGACAACAAGCCACTGCCTTGGCAATCTGTGCTTTGCTCTGCAAACCAGCGCACTGTAGGCTTCAGGCTGTCTTCAATGCTGACACCCAATATTGATGGAAAAGAAGCCATTGCTTGCGCCATCTGCGCTTTGTTCAAGGTCACAATTTCCAGAAATGCTACTGTTTGGTTCACTGATCCTCCTCGAGTTGGTCAATAGTAGGAGCCAATTGCTGCAATCTCTTGCTGGCTCATCCAAAGTTTCAAGGGTCACAACAACTTGTTTCGGTTGCAGTCTGTGCCACGGATATGTGCCAAAGCTGCATACTTGCTTGCAACCGCACAAGCTGCAGCATGCTCAAAGTCTTGCAATATTTTCCGAACATCTGAGCGCAGGTCCTTCCCCAACTGACGTGCCATGCGCCGCGTCAGTAAGGACAAGGCATTCTCGAATGATTTGCCCTGTCCTTGGCTCCAAGGCTTCAGGCGAATATGCACGGGCCCTGTCAGTTCCTGCGCTCTTGGACCCAGGCGGCGCAAATGCCAACAAAGCCGCCGTCTTCCTTGCGTCATTCCGTCTGCCTTCTGTACTCCGCAAACAGCGCCGCCTTTGCCAATTTCAGCACCCGATACTCGCGCAAATCAGGCTCCAAGTAATTACAATACTCCACCTCCGCCCGGCTTCCATGCAGCTCTGGCCGGCCTTGCCGCCACCAGCCAGGCGCCAAACCGACTGCCCATGGACGAGGCCCGGAGGTGTCGGCGACCAAAGCGATGCCAGCCAACCAGCTGATAGACAGTAGGATGGCCCATGTCAACAACCCTTGCGCCGTCCATTCATCAATTTCACGTTTTGCCTGGCTACATCGGTGCGGCCTTGCACGGCTGCGGCGACAAGTGTCCGACAAAGAAAGTAGCATGGGCTGTAGGAAGGCAACATTGCAAGGTGGCCTATTCCTCCCACAAGTTCAGAATCTGTGGATATGATACAAAGCAAGGTGGACTGTTTTGAACTTTGGTCCATTCGACGCGTTGGATTGAGGATCCTGGAATACAGCCTTTGAACATGGCCTTCCCAACATATTGCTGAGAAATACAAAGTTGCGCAACATGTGAATGAGGGGCATTAATTAGCTCTCTCCTAATCCTTCCAATAGATGGTTCATGCTTGGTGTGAGGCGATGATTGCACAACACATCGGATCTTTTGTTTGTACTGTGTCAGTCGACAACGGAAATGTGTCCAAAGTAGGGACACTGCAAAATAGTTGGTTTGATTCCCGTAAATGGTGTTCCAAAATACATTGCCGTGTTCCTAAGCTTGCTCAAATGCATTGCCTGATATCCTTTGTTTACCCCATATGTAGGTTGGGACCCCAGCTTGAGGGAATATTTTGGAGAGGGCAAGTAAATATTTCCCATTGACGTCTGATGCTGGCCCAGCTGCTGGAGATATATTTGACACCATGCTCGGGCAACGGAAACCACCAGCCCAACGTTGAACCGCACGCCGACTTGAAATTTAAACGGGGCCAGGTGTGATACGCATCTGTCGGATTGTTCAAGAACTCCGCGGGCTCGATGTTTTGATCTTGTTGTGCTCCTGTACAAAGCAAAGTCCAATTGATTTGATAGAAGCTTCAAACCGCAACTCTGGTCAGTATTGGCTCCAACAAGCGCGCTGTCGGGGACGACTTCAACACGTATGGGTTTTGAACGGTTTTGATTTGGTGGGCCCGCTTAGTTGGAGCCCAAACATGCTCTGCGGCATTTGGTCTGCTTTGAAAACCAGCCAAGCAGGGGGTTCCCATGTTCCAGAAAGTGCGAGTGACAGGCGCACTGCTGGCTGGCGCAGTCGAAGCAGAAGAAGTGAGCACAGATCACGTGGAAGATGCTCTCCCCAGAACCTGGCAAGATGGGTTGCAGGTGAGGGTTGAAACCCTCTTGGTGAGAATCTCCTTGTTTCCCTGAAATGGGGGTCCGGAGAAAAACCTGGAACTGTGGTCAAACAGAAAGGGGGATATCCCCAACTACAAATTCCCAGGCCTTTTGAGTCCTTTAAAGGAGAGGTTACCCGCTCCACACATTCCCACAACGCTGAACAAATATGATTCATATCTGAACAGTTCTCAATCCCGCTGTGGTGTGCTGAACATCAGGAATCTCTGCACAACAGGGAACCCTCGTCATGTGTGAGCTCGTCTTACATCCAGGTGAGCTCGTCTCGCATCCAGGTGAGCTTTGAGAAGCGAGGCAGATTGAGTTCAGCGTGAGTCCAGATCAGCGTCCTTGTCAAACCTGCAGCTTTCCAATCTGAAGTGGATTGCATGTGCTAGCTTGCTCCCAAAAACAGATGTGTTCCGATGTGGTAGACATTCCAACAATCCGGCAGGGTTGTTTCCAAGACACGATCTTAGCACGTGTAGAGATTTGGTTCCTGAAGTAAGCCACGGGAACCGTACCAAACCCCTACTCTTGAATGTTGGTCATGATTTAGAATGGCTTGGGGCAGGATAAACACTGCGCTCAAGCGGAGACACCCCATCCTGCAGCGCTCACTTTTTCTCACGCCCAAATCGCTCGCTGGCGCCAGTTTGGGCCGAGGTGTCGTGTTTAGACACATCGTCAATCTAGGGTTGTCGTCCTGTTTGCCGTCTGGTTTGGGACAAGAGTGGCATACATCGAACAATAAGAGACTCTTTGAAGGAAGCTTCCGTGCTCTTCCCCTAACCAAGTGGTTGTTAGGGCGGCGCCGCGTTCTCGTCGTGCTGCTATTTTGGGTGCTGATCCAAAGACATCTCCCAAACCTTTCAAGATTTGAACAAGCAACAACAAACAACATAAACAACAACAAACAAATTCTGCGAGAGGTAATGTCTGAGCATTTTCCCGCTGCCAACTGTCATGTCTGGAGACGGCTCGCGCTCGAATCGCCGAGGAGACGCAGCGGAGCTCAAAGAGTGGCTTCACTGCCTCCGCAGGGATGGGGCAGTTCTACGGAATGCGAAAGGCTGAACATGTCACAACAAATATACACATAATATATATATATATATATAATGTATTAATATATATTTGTATATTATAGACATCCAGGGTTCTGGTTTGGTGTCATTCCCCAAAAAGCAGAGCTCTTGTTGGCTAGTTCCATACAAGATACACAGAACAAGGGTTGACATTTGGGTCAACGACGGTATAGAACTCAGCGAACCAAGCCCGTGAGATGAGCTGTGCAACCAGGGGGCCATAGCCAGGGCAGGATCCCACTTGATCAATAGGGGCTCCACAAACAGGTTTGCTAGGTGTCATGCTGAGTGAGGAATTCCCGTTTATTCATCCCTCACTTTCGGACCTCTGAAAACTTATCACCTTTGACCGCGCCTCATTTAGCCCCACTCGACTAATGCTCGAAACAAACTCGGAGTGCAGAACCAAGGAAGTGAACATCTGCTGGAACATGTGAAATATGACAGGTAAGTCACTAAAGCATCTCCCAACACCCGGAACAAAGGCAACGAAAATTCCAAAAAACCAACTTGATCAACACTGGTGGTGTTACAGCAAGAAAATCCATTCATTATTTAGGTTTGTGTCAAACTTCTCCCTTTCTAGATACTATGAACAGTGAAACCAACAGGATACCCTGGCAAAGCAACACGTTGCTTCAAAATCTTGCACAGGAAAATATGTTTGTGTACAATGGCCAAGGCTTTCCAACTTCAGCTGCGCCCATGCTTTCGTTACATTCTTACACTTTGCCACGTGTGTTGATATCCCGACTACGGTTGGAGGTCCAACTCACTCGGGCATCGAGGCGCCCCTGTCCAAAACCGCGCGTACCCCTGAGCCACGCACACCTAAACCACCACCAAGTCACTCATGCCGCTCAAAAGAAGCACCGCGCCTCTCAAAAGAAGCACCGCGCCTCTCAAAAGAAGCACCGCTTGATGCAGGCCTCTGTAGGGCCCAGCACCTGGCCCGCGAGTTGGCGCACTTGAAAGCTGCTCATGGCAAACCGCCACTCACACCGCCTGTTGTTTGCGATTGTTGAGCTCAGGGACAACTGAAACCAAATCTGAAAGAAATTCAGCAGCCTCAAGGGCCGAAAGAACTGTGCAAGGCTCAAGGGTATAGAAGGCGACTTTAGAAGGCGACAGTCTTCTCCTTAAAGTTTCTTATCGACCCCCTCCATTGCGCACTAGGAACCAAACACTGGGATGCTTGTTGGGGCAACCCCTTTTTTTGCGGAAACTCTCCCAACCAAAAGGAAACATGATGCCACTGAACAGCTGGCCTACTATAAGCCTGAACTAGGGAACTCCTGAGGAACCTGCACGGGTGAGCTCGCTCAACCCCCCAATAAGCTCGCTTAACCCCCAGGTGAGCATAACTTTCCTATGGCAAGGGGACAATGTGGGGACCAACGCAAAAACACCCTTCACCACACTGAAGCCCGGTTGTCACCCTTGTTGAGGTTGACCTTCTATCGTCGTTGGGAACCTACACCTAACAAAAACGGGCAACGGGTGCCACGAACAACTGTGCAAGGAGTGAGGATTCAAATTTGGGTGCAATTTAATCCCTGTAAAACACATAAAAAGTAGCAGGGGGTTGGTGCCAAAAGTCCAAAAAGAAGCGGGGGGTTGGGAGGGGAGAAGCCCCCCCCACATGATGATCGAAAAAGTGATGATTCAATGTGGGGCAAAACATCTCAAAAGCAGCGGGGGAGTTGGGGGCGGCAGCCCCCCACATGATGATCAAAAAAGTGATGATTCAATTTGGGGCAAAAAATGTAAAACGCAGCGGGGGGGGGGGGGGAGGGTGGGGGGGGGGGCAGCCCCCCCATGATGAGCGAAAAAGTGATGATTCAACTAGGGGCAAAGAATCTAAAAGGTAGCTGTCGCATGATGATCGAGAAAGTTATGATTCAATTGGGGGGGTGCATGTTAATCGAAAGGGGGGTGGCAAGGGGCACCAAAAAGGAAATGGCGAGGCTGAGAATGCAACAAGCCAAGCCAAAAGCAGAGGATGCGAAAAGCCAAAGCGCAAAAGTCGCATGAACCCAATAACAAGCCGCAAAAGACAAACAGAGAGGAACTGTGAATGCAGAGGATGCGAAACACCGCAAACAAAAAAAAAATACACACACACACACACGTAAAAGCCACAAAAGCCAAAAAGCCGAAAAGCCACCCACCCTGAAAACACATCAAACAAAACAACAAAACATCCTTAAACAAACGGAACTCCATGGGAGCCCCTAAGCTGACTAACTTTCATCTCAGTGTCTTTTTCAGCCGTCCAAAAAGGGTGCCCTCAAAAAACGACACGCCCACTCAGTTTGTCGGTGAAATATTCTCGGAAAAGGCAAAGCACCCCGGCCTTTGCACGAGCCAGCTCGTTTTGAGCCAGGTCCATCTGAGCGCAGAAAGCGCTGGAGAGCCGACAAGGTGGAAGCTGCCACGAAAGTTACTCTGGGTTGGTTTTGACAGTACACAAAGTGGGCTGCAACCCAGCTGTTCAAGCCCATCCCCTTTTCAGGTCCTGTGTAAAGTTCTGTTTGATGCTTTTGTGGAGCGACATCAACAAGTTCCAACCTGGGGTACTCTGCAAATCAACTGAACGAACCCTACTAAGGCGGGTGTGATCGCGGTTTGGTCTAAGGCATTCCGCACTCACAATACGCCGGCGTTGTTTAGTCGGTATGAAGTCAACCCCTGACTCAGAGGGAGGTTTCTTCCGGAGAGAACACCTTGGTCTGACACTATAATATACAAACCAAGAAAGGCCCAAAATTCGAGGAGGGGGTATGCTACGAAGGTGAGCTTTGGGTGGTATGAAATTCCTTTCGACAAACTGGCCTTGATGGTCAAATCAGGAAGGCCAACATGGGTGTGGTTCCTTTTGAGGGGTCGGTACCACGTCTTTGACGGTTTTGAGCTTATTTTGAAACACACCCAGGATAGAGACACACCCACCGGCGATTCCTCGATCTGCTGGCAACTTTGCGGACAGGGCGAGCCTGGTGTCATTTGACAACTCTGCAAGAACATGTTTCACCGACAGGACGCCCAAAGTCACGTCATGGATAGGACAATCGCCATGTTCACGCTGAGCCTTCGGGACCTCATCAAGGTGCCAGCTAGCTCCCCTTAGAAACAAAACACCAGCCCACCTGAACAGAAACTCCATCAAGCTTGCCACCCAAACAGTGACGCCGAGCTCGCAAAACAGCGAGTGCAATTCTCCCAGCGTCAGCTTCGCGCGCTTTCTAGCTTGCCCACCATGGTCTGACATTTTAAGGCAATTCCCGTTTGGAACCTTGACCAAAGTACACAAGCACTGGAAAACCAGTGTTTCAAACAGCCGACACGTTCTGGGTCTTGACTAAAATAATGACGAGACCTAAATGGCAACCTAGGAGTAGACATGACTCGACAATCCAATCGAATAAGTCTGGAAAATTGTGGGGCTCAATGCTACAGAAATTGCAACTCCATGTTACCGCTAAGTGCCTAAAGAAAAGTGCACCAACCACCCGCCCCCAAGATTAGTCCGTGCCGGACCCAACAATTACCCGTGTTTTCAGTGGTCTTTCCCAAGTCAAAAATAGTATTGCCCTCTTTTAATGCCATGTTGCCGAACACTTGTCCAGCCCCTCCAAGCCTTATCAGGGCAGGGGGAAGGCTTGTTGATTCAAGGCTAGCATTACCAGCACAAAGTGCGCGCCTGACAAGTAAGAACAAACAAAGGTCGGTTCTCTCTGGTTGCAAGTGATCATTTCTGAGGTTCCAGACGTCCAAGATGCGCAGAGACCGCAAGGTCATCTTGCCTGCAATCCAGGCGGCGAAGCACCAACACAGTTCAGGGATGTTGCTAAAGGCAAACCAAAGGAGCACCGCGCATT